GAAGCACTCCATTTATCATTAGAGGTGATTTTGCAGAGTTTTAGCTGTGTTTAAGGTTCTGTGTTTACTTTCAGAAGTAGGACCTGCATAACAAAAGTCTTTCTGATCTATTTAATTGTATTCTTTTCATATTTGAAAAGCACTGAGCATGTATTTTGGTAATCATATTTAGCTTCTCTTTTTACGGTTTATTATTATGCCAGTTTTGCAGTTTGCAGCAACTTTGTGTGCTGTCCCACTTTATAACCCCTAGCCGTGTACACGTTTTCAATCAGCTACCCTGTATAGCCATTGTTCTTATGATATCATTTCAGTTTGTTCTACAAGTCCTAATTCTTCTCCAGTGAAGAGGTTTGTGTCTTAATCAAAATATGTCTGGCAAACTATTTTAAAGTGGATAAAAGTGCTGATGAAAAGTAGAGATTGTAGATCAAGTAGGGCATAAAGACTGAGCTACATCACTGTATTTGAATGAACAGCATCCAAGACATTCCCATTTAGACACAAATTGGTGCATCTCAGTAGTCTTCAGTGGAGTTGGGTCAGTTTGCGTGGTGGAAAATCTGAACCTGCATAACTAGTCCTTTGTCCTTCTAAACAGTTTTCTGACTGTCTGGGCAAGCACAATATGTTTTTGAATAAGTTCTAAAACCAGTTTGCTAGTTCCAGCCATTTGTCTGATAACTTTCCTCCGACAATAGCAAATGCCTCAGCAAGTGCATTAAAATAGGGCAAATATGCCGTGATAATTTCCCAGTATAATCCTAGTTTCATCAGTGGATTGAGTGAGACAGAAGTGGTGTCACTGTGCTGAAGATGTGTTTTTGAATTTCTCCTTCACTAATTTTTCAAATATTTTTCCAAACTTTTGCAAGCTTCTGGTGTTCACAGCTTCCAGTTTCTGCAGTGTCACTAATACAAATGTGACTAACAGATCTCATGAAACACAATTTGTTTAAAACAAGAAATTTTAGATTTTGCAGAGAGAAAATTATCACATATTTGCTTACATCTTTGCTGGCATCCTGAGAGGCTTTTCCTTGGCCTCAGAACCACAGGTAATATTCTGCTCATGTAAATTGAAATTCCCATCAGTTTCAATACCAATATAGCTTTTATCTCCATGACTATAATACATTGCCATTATCCACTTATACTAGATGAATGCTTACGACTTTAGAGTCTATCCTCTTTGCTCCCAAATTAGATTTTGGGACAGGAGTTGAGTTGTTGAGACGTGACTTCCCAGGACCAAAGCATGTTGCAGTCTGAGTGCATGGTTAAGAGTACCTATCCCTACTGTACACACAAAACATCAGTACCCCGTTTGTAGAAAATCTCACAAATGTAAACACAGCCTGTTACCTAAATGTGTCCCAATTCCCACAAATAAGTCATTCCGATGTCAGAATCCTGTAAATGCCAGCTGTGCTGTGGAGGTACACCTCACAAGTCCATGCTGAGTGGAGGCAAAATCAAAGGCAGGTTGTCCTTTCATCCTCTTGAGTCTAGCAGCTATTTCTTGACACCACTGTGGCAACAAGGGTGGGCATAAAGGGCTGGTAAAATTACAGCAGCCAGGTATAAATTGCAATGCCAGATTACACCTGATTTCATATCCTGCATAGCAAAGCAGCATGTTGAGTGCAGCATCCCCAAACATCCTGGTGTCTCAGGCACTGTCCTCAAAATACCCTTTTTTACCAATGCTTAGAAGGGGGGTCTGTGGTGGATACTTGGGCCTCAGCATCTCTGAGAGGATTTTTCTTAGAATTCAAAGGTTTAAGGTCCCATTTCCACTTCTCTGACTCATTATCCTGGCACAGAGTGCCAGATTGAGAGGGTCTCCCTCACAGTCATTTCTTTCTGTTAATCTTTAAAGCTATTCAGTTTTTTACCTTTGCATATGAATAAATACACAATGAGGAACTGCATGTTTCATTCACAGCGGTAAATCAAAAGCAGCTCAGCTGAGACCAGTAAGTGCAAAAGGAATATCAGACTCATGTCGTGAGGAAGAAAACCTGGTTATTTATACATTTTAAACAGGAAAAAATATCTACAAGATCTCATTATTCTCAGCACTATGCTTTAACCAGAAACCCATCTTCTCTGTTGGCCCCTATGGCTGAACATGAGACAAGGTTAACCACAAATCTGTCCATCCCAGCGCCCCTCATGAGCAGGGGGGCGTTTGCCACCATCATTCCTGACTTCATGGGACTTGGGCACCGGGGTGTGCACTGTTTGGACAGAATATAAAAAGAAACAAGTCTCATAGCCTCAGAGAGAAAACTTTGTCTTTGAAGGAGGGTAGAAAAAGGGAACAAAAAGCATTTCATGCTATCCTGCATGTCTCCTTAACAGGCATAGAAAGATATCCATAAAACTGTTTAAAACATGATCCCACAACTGAGCTGCCTTGTTCTATGAATAAATCAACAATCTGTGAAAACATGTTCAACAGCTTCCTGGAAGTGGAAGAGAAAATTAAGGATTTTTTGCTTCATAAAGCAGCACCTCAACCAGTAAAATTCAAACTATTTTGGGCACTGGCTGGAGATGTCAGTCACTGTCACAGGACTCATGTCAAGCTGATCAACCTCAATTATCAGTATAACAGATTTACATATAAACCCACAAATTTGACATTGGTTTTGCCTTCTCTTTTGTGACGATGTTATCATTATTATGATATTAATTTAAATTAAAATTTAAAAATTTAAATACCCTATTTAAACAGAAGTACCTGCTGTCATATACCATGAGCAAATGAAATGTCAATTTGCTAACTCTAAATAAAATTAAAATTAAAAAAAAACCCAAACCTCCTTCCAGGTGGTATCTACACTGTGTAAACTGTCAGTGTTGACCAGCTAACAGTAACGTTGTATAGGATGTGTGGTGGTGTTTTTCCAGGGCAGTTTACACAAGTAACTCAAGGGAATGATTGCTGCACGCACTCATCCGCAGACACTCATACACAGCTTTTCTCTGACACAGGTGCTAGCTGTGACTCTTTAGTTGCTCCCTTCCCCACATGAAATATGCTTTCCTGCCCCAATTTTGCCACGTATTTATAGTGGCAGGAGGCAAGACCGAGTCCGCTGACATTCCCGGCAGATGTGAGAAGGCGCATGGCTGTGGGTGTGCTGTGAAGGGGCTGTGGGAGCACAATAGGTGAATGGCAGAGGAAAGAAGGTGTGTGAACTCCTAACGTCTCCTGGCATTTATAAAGACTTTCCGTAAGATTTACTGGGTCTATAAGTGTGTAATGCACCAAAAAAGTGAACCTTGCCCCTATTTTTCTTGTTCATTGAAGCTATCACTCCTTGTCCATCAGACCTCCATGTGGAATTTAAAAAGTGGTGGGACGCTCTCACGCCCAAACCCTGCTTAGTTAGCATATGAATGCTCAACTGATTGTTTGAAGTAACAATTAGGAGGACAATGGATAAAGAAGGAAATTGGAGACAGCAACTAACACCTGTGAATCAGAACTTAAACAGCTTTCTTTTACCTAATTAATTAAAGAAGCAGGTACAATGCACATTGACTTGAAAATGTGGTCCAAAGGCAATGCTGGTCCCTGTAAATCCCTTTTCAGGATTACTTACATGTAAGGTTTGATCTTTTTGTAAAAGTCTTCGTCATGAGTGAATGTTGCAAAGTGTTACAAGGTTAGTTTTTTTTTTTTGGTGGTGGGAGGGAGAAGGGGAAGAGAAGTTCATTTAAAGGCAGTTGCAGTTTCATGGAGGACACAGAAGTCCTGATGAAGTTATTAAAACATACGGACCTCAGATAGGTAGCAGAAAGTCATTGTAATACACAGAACGTTTCTAACCTTGAAAATAGAAATTATGATTTAACATCCTGTAATCAGTGCGGCATACTTTTCTGCATTAAAGAAAACGAAAAGGATGCTATGAAACTGTTTCATTAAATTGTATTTATTGCAGAATGTGAGGAGAATTTTATGGAGCTTGCTCAAGGAAGCAATCCATGTGTGTGCTCAACATGCTTATAGGCAATTATTTCTTAAAAATGTTATATTGTGCTTCTCTAGAACAGTGTTTAATGAACCTAGTTAACATTATGACTCTGGAAATAGTCTAAAAAACCTATATCTGCAATTTGCATATATTAATAAGTAGTAGGGGGCATAGATTCTATTTGCACACATCAGAGGTGTTGCTAGAGTTGTACTGGCGTAAAAAGGAAAGAAGGAAATACAATGTCATTAAAAAGTACCTAACATCTAACCTTCTCTCTCCATAAAGTTTATGAAGTAACTTCAAATACTTCAGGTATGATATTGCTGATGATAGTACATAGTGAAATGACATTTTAGAATATTTTGTTCTTTAAACAAAAAATCTCTTTTCAATTTTTTTTTTGTATCTTTAAATGGTATCAGTAGTACAACGTTAAAGAAAATCTGTGAAGTCCTGATTGCACTGAAGTGAAAGTTTAACTCACATTGGCTTCCAAGTAATCTAGATCAGTTCTAAAGGACATTAGAGAAGATGGCTTATTCAAGGAGAAGCTGTATTAATTTGAAAAGGGAATGCATGGTTGTGATGAAAAATGGAAAGGAGAGTAGAGAAAGAGGAAAGAGAGGAAGACAGTGGAACATAAGAAAATAAACATAATGTGAACATAATGAAAGAAAACTGGGTGAAATTAAGTTTGGGGAGGTCCTACCACAAAACATATATCAAATATTAAGCTAAGAGTTAAAAATTGAATAACGAATTACATTCAGATAAACTGAAAAGCATTTCTGTTTGCTTTGCTTGTGTCCTTTATATGCTATGATGTTGATGGTATTTATATTCTATTTAATGAATACTTAACCATTCACGGTCCAAGATAAGGACAAAAAAAATAATTCATCAGTAATTAAAACAGCGATTATCTTGTTGGAGGGGTGTGTGCCATTTACACTTCATGTTAGGCTTCTGGTTTTTATATTGTAAATTTATTGCTATTTTGCAGATTTGGTGTACGGATACTATAGACAACAGCGGAAATTGATTGAAGAGATTGATTGGTCATATACAGGTAAGCAAAACTGTTTTATTTCACATTGATATTTTCCTGTTCATTGTTGTAACTTCAAGAGCCTGTTATGTCTGTATGTCACTTACCATTTGACTAAACAATTGGTAGAGTAAAAATAGGAAATGTAGGAAATGGCCTCTGGAAAAAAAATATAGAGGAGACTGTTTTCATTTATTACATTTGTAACTTTTGGAAAGAAAACATCCTTAGTCCTGAAAACCTTAATCCTGAGACATGAATTTCTTGATGAAGGCTGGGCTAATAAATTGTTAGGTGGGTTCCTATCATCTGAATATCACTGTTCTGGCAAGTTTGAAAAGCAGGCAGAAAGGCTGAAAGAAGACACAGCTCATTATATGGGTAAGAACATATCCATATACCACACATGAACTTCTGCACTTTCTTTCTGAGCACATGAGCATCCTTTCCAGGTCCTACCCTCATTCTCCTAAAAAAGCAGTCATTTGAGCTCTCCCATTTACATAAGTCAAAAAAGATATGCCCTTAAATTCTGCACAACCTTTGCTTCATCACAGAAGGACTACAGGGAATTCACAATTTGCCTCCTAGATTTTTCTGCAAAACTCAAGCCGCTTTCAGTAATATTGAAAAGGTAATTTTGTCCTAAATTATAGGTATATTTTACCCAGAATGTAACTAGTAACTTTCTGAGGATGTGCATAGACTCTTACATTTTGAATTATTTAAGTCAGTTTCAAAAAACACCAGTTTATGAAAAGAAATAAGGACTGTCAAATTTCAGTGTTTCATATATTTGGTTCAATACATGTTCCTGAAGTTAAAGAAAGTTACACATTCTTTTTCTTTCTCTCAATCTCTCATTTTTGAAACAGATTTTATCTTCCAGGGTAAAACATATCTAACAGGTTCTGTGCCTAGAGAGAATTGAAACAAGCTGGTCATAAACCCTTCAAAATGAGATTTATAATGAAAACTCCCACTTACACACATTGTACTGCAAAATCCAAGCATAAGATCAATCAATACAATATTTCATGTTCCAAATCCATCCATTTTTTAATATTGCAGCTAGAGGAATGCAGGGATAAGCCTCCAGGATTACAGGTGACCAGAGGGCAATTTATGAGTTTGCTTTAAAGAATAGCAAATGGGTTTTGCATAGCATAACAGAGGATAGGGCTCTTCCCCAGCCTGTGCAGAACACTCACCCACTGTGCAACTGCTGCAGCAGCCGCAGGTCATGTTTACTGGATATTTTGGGTGGCAAAACAGCACAGAGTCTGCAAGCCAAAGGTTTCAGACCTTGTTGGTTCTCTCCTCTAATGTGAGATACCTTCGTGTAGTCAGGTCACTTCATGTGCCTTGCCCAAGTGCTTCCTGTTGGCAAAGCCTTTCTCCTTATTCAGACCTTTATAGTCAGGTGCATAGGGTGGCCGAACACGTGAGGAGCCCCGGTCAGCAGAGTGTACACTGCCCGAGCAACACCCTGCCCCAGCAGCACACTGCCCCTGTTTCTGCAGCCTCACCAGGCACTCTGCCGCAGGGGCTCGGCGTGCCCTCAACACCCCTGACACAGCTGACTCCCGGCGTTGTCAGACATGGATATTCAAAGCTTTTTTTGGTGGGCTGTATGTGAAACAGGTACTCCATGTCTAGGGCTGCCAACTCTATTGCAATCTGTATGGTGTGTGGTGCTTTCTTGAAATACCAGTTAGGTACCATGGCATGAAGGGAATACACGATTTCAGCTTTCAGTTAAAAAAAACCACAGTCTTACAGAATGTGAACAAAAATTACAAATTTTAACATTGTATGTTGGAAGCACAGAAATGTAGAGGCTGAGGCATATTAATATAATTTATTTATAATAATTTATTTATTTTAATTTCATAATATTATTCCTGGGGCAGGCAATACCAAGTGGTGTAAGTATAACTACTAAACCTAGCTCAGGCTAATGGTTTTGAGGCATAGACCAACATGCACATTTCTGAATAAATGCCCTATGCTTAGTCAGTTCATCCTTTCCTCAGATACCAGTTATATTCTGTCTTACAAACTGCTTACTGAAAGACCTGAAAAATTAGCCCCTGTGTGCCAGTGAGCAGGCCTTGGGATCCTGCAGGCATGGAGTTTAATCCACCATAACAAAGACAAACCTACCCGGCGTGGTAAACTAACCTGAGTTTGACCAGATGTAATTCTCTATATCAAAAAAGAAAATTCAGATACATTAGCCACAGTGGGTCAATACACTCCTTTACTGTAATGGTGCTGTGAGATGAAAGTTAAATGGAACTAGAGAAATAACTTGAATCTTACCTGCTGAAATCGTGTAAGTTCTGAAGGCGAAGTTTCATAAGAAAGCAATTTCGCCTACTGTAATTTATGTGACTCATCATGGGATTTTGACTCTCAGGTAGATGTCTAATGAAAGCATGAATGTTACTGGAAACATTCTGTAGTACTTCTAAGGTCTCTCCTTTAAGCCACAGACAAATCCAGCATTTGTAACCATGAATTTAGGTTTTTTGTGTTCTGATTTTGCATATATTTGCATAAACAAATACAGTGTTAAAGAAGTGGAAGGTGTAAGTGCATGTTACAGACATCCAATTTTTTCAGGAATAAGTGATTCTTGAAACTAGGTCATTAGTAAAATGACTTTATTTTAAGAACTTTTCATTTTATTTTTCATTTAAAAAGTGCTAGAAATCAAAATTTCATAAGAAAATAAATATGTTCAAATGATGTCATATACCAACAGTGAATCCAACCATTTTTGTTGTAGAAAAACCTCCTCTTCTGAGAAATTTCATTTCTTCAAATCAGTTACATACTGAGATCCAAAGATAACTTAGACATTATTTAGCTGCACCACTAACATTATGCAATCTCATATTATTTCAAACAGTAAAGCAAGCAATGTGAGCTTCAATTATTTCTCTGTCATACAAATGAAAGATAAATTTTTATTGATGATTTGTTTATCTCCAAAAATAATATTTTGTAAAAAAAATAAGTGAAACTAAGTCTGAATATTTGCATGTAGAATTATCAAATGATACCACAAAGAAGATTTTTTTGTTTTCCAGTGAAATTTATTTCTGTTGGGTTTTTACTCTTGGCATTTGGGTTCCTGTTCACAACAAACAAGTTATGTGGTTTACCTGAATTCTGCTAAAAGCAAGAAATTCTAAGCAGCCTTCCAGAAAAGATGAGGGTGTTTAGAAATTGAATTTACTCTGTAAATGAACAGCACAGCCAGTTCCGTGCCCTTTGTCTCATCATTCCAGGGTATTTAGTTCAGTTTTGCTTATATTCATTTTACGATGCACTGATATACCATTGCCTTTTTCTGGCAACTCTGATCTCGAGCAAAGGGTGATTTTAGTGTAAATTCTTGGGTCTCTGGGCATTCAAAGAACAATTTTTTTGTTGGCAAGCAGAATGTGAATCATATTTCCTTTTTCTCTGAGGGAGAACATTCATAAATCACAAAATCACAGAATAATTTAGGTTTGAAGGGGCCCTTGGAGATCATCTGGTCCAACACCTTGCTCAATGCAGAGTGAATGTCAAAGCTGAAGCAGGTTGTTCTGACCTTGTCCAGTAGAATTTTGAAAATCTCCAAGGAGGAAGATACTGCAGCCTGGGCAGTGTGTTCCACTGTCATTTTGAAGAATTTTTTTAATTTACCCAACTGCAATTTCTCTTATTGCAGCTTGTGACCATTGCCTCTTGCCCTTGCCCTGTGCCCTGCTCTGGTCATTGCCTTTACATAGCAGTAGGCTTCAGCTTGGTTCCCCTTCTCTTCTCCAGCCTCAGCAAACCCAGATGCCTCAGCCTCACCTCCTACATGAAGTGCTACAACCCCCTGATAGTCTCAGTGGCCCGTAGTTTGTTAATATTCATCTTATATTGGGTTAGGGAGAAAGTCAAAACTGGACTCCACATTCTTGATGTCACCTCGCTCGTGTGCACAAGGGGGAAACCGTCACTTCCTTGTCCCGCTGGCTGCACTTTTGCTAACATAGCCCTGGCTGCAAGGGCACACTGCTAACTCACACACAACTCGTTGGATAATTAACTAGATCTTTCCCGATGATTTTTAATACCTAAGATACTTTAATACCTACTATCTGAGCTTGGTAGTAAAACCTGGCAGTATGTTGATGATGCTCTTCTGGCCCTTGAACTAATATTCTCTGCAATAACACCAGCTACACATAATGGCTTGGTTTTGCTCCCATGTTGAACATTGAACTAATCTTGTTAAGCTTAAAATTGCTATCATTCTATGTCTGATTCAATACCCACTGGAGATATCCCCCTCGTTTATCATTCCCCGTTACTATCACTGCACGGACAAAACCTTAGTTTCCACTTGAAAGGCTGATTTTGCCAGCCCAAGTCTTGGAAATCTGCACTGATGGCTTCAAATGTTGATGCCTGTAGTTTGGCTCAGAAATTAAAATGGCCTTATTTTCAGTGATACTGAGAAAAATAATTCTCTTTCTAACCCAAACAAGATCTAATGTTTTAATTTCAAATGTTGTTTTATAATCTTTAAGTACTGAGGAGATTCTACCACAAAGTCATTGCTCATGAAGTTTATGGGAAAGTAGTTTGTTGCTTATATCCATAAGAACTTCCAGGAGTATTTTGCTTTATGCTCAGCCTAAAAGGTGAACAAGGATCTTTACTATCTCGGCTGTGATTAAAGTAAATGTTTGTGACATTGGTAGCTTATTCTACTTATTTTGTGAAATATCTCCTGCTACTGTCACCCCAAATGTGATCCTGGTAAAAAGGAAAGTTACAGGCTCTCCCCTCATCCTGTCTCCCTGTTCAGCAGCCATCTGCCAGGAGGAGGACAAGGCCAGGCATACAGGCATTTTTTTCCGCCCTGCAGCTGCAGTGGAGAAGAAGCTGTGCTGAAGAGTGTGTGTCTGAGTGTGGGCACCCATGTACGTTCCCTCTGAGACAGCTCCAGGAGCAGGGCAAATGGAGCTAGA